CTGGATCCTCACCTGACCCTAATCTACTTGTCCACTACACGCTTGCAATGATGTAATTGGCCTACTGCATAGGCACATGCTTGCACACCTGTTGCAATGAGATATTACTGACTGTGCTGTTATATAAAGAGCTCTGCCAAGTGCTTTGTGTGGAGACAGTGGTGGAGGGGAATTTGCAGACTTACTGGATGCAAAAGTGATTCTAGCATTTGACTTGCTGGATGTGAAGGTGATTCTAGCACTCAACTTGCCACTGGGAGAATAAAGCTTGGTATAAACCCTTGTATCCCCAGTGTTCTGTTGTCATTTTTTGGTCTCAGCAAATCCAGAGTGAATTTGCCCAAAGCTGATATCCCCTCCAGTGTGACATGCACAAAACTTACAGCTTTTTTTTTTTTGTATCATTAATCTACAATTACATGAGAAACATTATGTTTACTAGGTTCCCCCTTCACCAAGTCCCCCCCACAACCCCCATTACAGTCACTGTCCATCAGCATAGTAAGATGCAACTTACAGCTTTTTTTTGATGATTTGCATTGCATATTGGGTAAAACCCCAAACCTCTTGTGTGGCTTGCAGTGTCCTGAAAAATCTACTGTGGCTTCTTTTTCATGCTTCATCTTATGGTATCTATCCCCTTGCCCCACCCTGTCTCACAGATATCTAGCCACTAATGACTTCTAATTCCTCAAAAGCAGGGAAACCTCAGGGCCTTTGTCTGTCCTATTATTTCAGTGTAGAAGAGGTTTTTCCCTATTGTTCAGTTTCTACTCATCCTTCTGATAGCTTAGTGACACTTAGATTTAGCCTTGCAGAGTGGTTAACAGTGTGTCCTGCATAGGTAGAATGTCTGGATTTGTATCTGTTTCTACTGCTTACAGTACTTGATCTTGGGAAATTTGCTGAACCTGCTAGGCTCTGGAAATATAATAATTTCCCAATTATTATATTGGGAATAATAATGGTAAGTACCTCAGAGTATTGTTAGATGGCTTAAACAACCCAAGGGGACCTGGAAAAATGGCAGTCGTGCATTATTTTAAAATTTCCTCCAAATAAACCTAAAAAATTAAGAAGAGAAATAGAATAACAAAAAAGTCAACCCCACAAAATCTGTAGTCAACATTCATGACAAAGCTAGTTGACAAAGTATCCTCATGAACCATAAATATGAGTAGGTGGGGACACACCACCCACACTCCAAGACCAGAATTGTATCAACAACTGTGCTGGACAAAGCAAAGGAAAGCAGTGGGGCACCTGAGGTATGGTCTCCAAAACAAGCCAACAGATGTTCACCAGAAACTTAGCTGGCCAACTTGAGAACAACTGCTGAGCCTGGTAGGGGTGTTTGAGACTCTGCTCGCTGTGTGTGGGAGTGGTGAGGCCTGAAGAGGTCTTTTAGGGCCCCGTGAACTCTTAGAAATAACCAGACAAAACTCCCTTCTAAGATAAAGTCCTACAATGAGTAGAAACTGCTGGAAATAAGTCCACAGTGAGCAGCTTGGGGTGAGTAGAGACAAATGAAAAAGGGAGTCTGAATGAAAGAAGAGGAAGAGACCAAGGCTAGGGGGGTTTCAGAAAGGAAGACAGCATATTGGGAGCATTTCATAAAAGCAGCACAAGAGGGAACTCTGGAGCCACGAAGCTGGGAAAACAACCAAATTCCATGTAGAACTGAACAGTACAAAGATCAAGATCAAATTCCATAAAAAGATGTTAAAATATTTTAAAAAGGGAGTAAGGAGCAGAATACCATTCCTACAGACAATTAAAGCGTGCCCGAAGGAATGTATTCTCCAGAGTAGAGAGAAAGCAGGAGGTGGAGTCCATTAGTGTGGAGATGGCATCTGCAGGGAAGGCCCTCTGTGGAAGGGATGTGGAGGAAGCTTGGGGCTTTCTAGTCTCCCTCAGGGAGACCCAGCAGAGCCAGCGGGGCTGCCCCGTCAGCCGGAGATGTAGTTCCACGGAGCTCACTGGGGCGGTGATTACCATCGCAGGGAATCCAGAGCAGAAGGCATGGTCTTCCATGGATCATGGAACCAGGAATCTGGACTAGAGCAGAAGAGTAAGAGCCAAGCATCATTCAGCCGGGTAACAAATGAAGCAGAGCAGCAGCAGTCAGGGGGTGATTTGGAAAGGTGTTCAAATGCTCCTGGGACCCTTCCAGTGCCCATTTAATGGTTGGCATGAAGGCAACCTACATTGCCTTCAAACTGGTTAATGTCACAGAATGTTAATGTAACAACATCCATGAACGGGCACCTAAAAAGGTAGCAGAGCAACACAACAGTGTAGTCCAAGCATGGGATTCGGGGTGCATGAGGAAGCCTAACGGGGTGAGTCTGAAGTGGAGTCTCTGCCACCCCAAATTCATTCTCTGACAGCCACTCCTACCCCCACATCTCACTTACTCCAGGTCTCCCTCTTTAGCAATGACAGACCCTCAGGTGACGTTCACGTCTCTGACCACATTGCATCCCCCCCCAACTTCATGTTCTCGGGTCCCTCCTTCCTTCTCACTCTGTCAGGCTCCTTGGTTCCATATGGTCACTCAGCTGCAAACATCCTTGATGTTGGCCTCTGCCTCCATCGCACTCAAGTAGCAACCTTGACTCTGATAAGCCTATTTATAGGTCAGTAATTGACCAGTACCTTTTTCTAGCTCTGACCTTTCTCAGCAATTCCATTTGTTTCCTTGACATTTCCAGTTGGATATCTAAAAGAGTTTCCCAATTTAATTTACCAAAACAACATTGATTCCTCTCCCTTCCCTAGTCTTTCCCAATCTTCCTCATGTCAATAAACAATGCCACATTTACTAGCTAGTCAAGCCAAAGCTAGTTCTTCTCTTTCTTTTCAACACTGCATTCAATATACTAATATGTCAGGTGGTATCTTCTCCCCAGACATACACTCCTCTGCACCTCCCCTAAATAACCCTGCGCAATCTGACCACCTCTCCCTGGTACAGTAGGCTTCCAACTGACCTGTCTGCTATAAGGTTTCCCCGACCTCCACCCATTTCCCACAGGAACTGGAGTAATGATTCATACTATGCATCAGATCATGTTACCCCATTGCTTAAAACCCTTCAGTGTTTTCTGATAGCCCTTAGAATAAATCCTGAATTAAGCTTTCTCGGGCCTAATTTGCCTTTCTGACCTACTTGTCCCCTCTTCCCACTATACCCCAGCCTCACTGGTCCTCTTTAAGTGGCTGGAAACCATCAAGCTTGTTGTGACCCAAGGGACTTTAGGACAAAGAAGGAATGAAACATAAGTGCTGTGGGGAAGTAGTACGTGGTGCTGGGAGCTGGGTGGCAGGGAGGATTTCCCTGGAGTGACGTTTGTGCTGGGATGTGAAGGCTAAGCTGGACTGTTAACTATATGAAGAGCAGTGGGAGAAAGAGTTCCAGATAGAAGAGAAGAGCATGTGCAAAGGCACTGGGGCACACATCACTAGTATGTTTGTGGAAGAGGCAAGTGTCACAAGTGGTAGGATATGTCAGAGACCTGGGCAGAGGCTGGATCCTTCAATGTCTGATTGGCCACATCACAGGTGATTTCACAGGGGCTCAGTCTACTCATAAGGCTGGCTATTTACTCAGGTTCCACTCTTAGCAACTCATTCTGTTAGTGTTAAGGCTTGATTCCATTTAAAATGTGTTATCTTGGTATAAATCAGGTCTTTGTGAGCAGGTTGTATTAGGGGAGGGGCGATGCTTTCTTTCATGGGAGTCATGAGGGAAAGAAAGAATACTGGAGGCTGCATCTCATTTCGGTCTGTTGAGGCCCTAGAGCATGCCTAAGTGGGAGCAGAAGAAGGAAATACTTCCCAGTGGCTCCTGTCGGCCAAAGCCTTCCCATCTCCGGAGGACAATGAGCTCACTGACAGGACCTGGGGGTCAGGAAACAGCTGCCCCAGAACCGCCTCTGGAATGTCTGCTGAGCTGCACTGTCTCTGGGCTTCTCCATTGCCATAAGTTATTGGGACATGAAACACGTATTGCTGAGAGCTCTTGAGTATTTAAAAATAAGAATTACGTTAGATTTGGGCCAAATATGCCAGACTGCTGAGCAATAATAGACACATTATGATTCTAAGCTTCAACTTCCTGTGTCTCCCTTTGGTTTGTTGACTAGCAAATACTTTCTTTTTCTTCTTTGGTTACTTTTGCCCTTTACTTGCGCTCGTTTTTCTTTCATTTCCCTCTTGCCCTTTCCTCTTATTTTGAAAGTGGATCAGATAAGCCAATGTTCATTATATGTCTCTATATTCCCAGCTTGACCACCAACCAGCCTTCAATCTCCGAATCTTATTTCCGGCCACAGATGGAAGACTTGCTGATTCAGGCAGACTTCCCCTTCACCTGCAGAGATGGCTACAACCTTTCCCTTTCAGCAGACCTGATGAAGCAGAGACCTTTTGTCCCATTTCCCTTCTAGGAACCTGTTTTCCAAACCCCTGTTCCTTTATAGGCCTTGAAGCCTCTGAGGCAGTGACAGACCTCATGTCTGTGCCTTGAAAACCAGTAAAGAGAGAGACAGTACCAGGTGTCCTTGGCCCAGACTCTCCAGTACAGGGGCCTGGGCTGACAGGAGTCCAGAGGCCAATGGCTCACTTTAATGGGCAGGACGTATTTTCTAGTGATTGATCACTTCCTCCATAAATTATGGATATGCATCTCTGCTGAGCCCAGTGACTTATGGAGAAGCCTTTTAAGCAGTAAATTCCCCATCTCTCCATTCTCTGGGCAGTAATGACATTGCTCAAGTCACAGAGAAGTGCATACCTCCCTTTGCAGGGATGGCACTTTCTTTAAAAGCAAATTTTCACTTGTTAAAGGCTCAGTGGGGAAACTTTTGGGGAGGATCAGCAACCTCAGTCTGGGCAGCCTAGCTCCCCTCACTCTCATTTAGCAGGGATGCCTCACAGGGAGGTGGGGGCACTGAATCTAAATGCATGGCTTTAGGTTTGCCATTGTTATTATTTTTTGGCAAGAGTGTTTATTTGTGGGCTGATACAGGAAGAGAGCAAGCGAGTAGGTGTCAGAGGGAAGGGAATGCCTCCCACCTGACTCCTTGCCTAGTTTTGGTCCCTGTGAAGAAGGATTAGAGCTGACAGAGAGGGAATCGTGGTGGGGGCTTGGAGCCTCTGGGCACAAGCACATTCTCCTTGGGACATAGAAGAGCCAATACTGCTTGGAAAGGGGATTGACCATTTCCCACATTTCTGCAGGGAATCCTACAGTCCCTCGAGTACTGGCAACCTAGGGGATGCCTAGGCATGGACCCTGACGTCTTCATGAGCATAGGACAGAGAAGAGGGAGACGTGTAGAAGAGAATCGCACATTAAGGTAACTGTGTGGCTGTGTGGACTAATGATGAAGAGTGATGATTCTGGCTTCAGTTTGCCTAGGCTAGTTGGGTGTCCCTGGGCAAATTTCTTCAGTCCTGTATTCCTCTGTTTCCCCACCTATTAAAAAACAATAATAGTAGTACCTAAGTTATAGGATGACTTTAAGCAATCTGAGATAGAGAAGTGGACAGGGCCTGGTACATCAGTAGCATTCAATAATACAAGCTGTTTATTTATTTTAAAAAAGACCTATAGTTGATATAGAATATTCTTTTGGTTTCAAGGATGCAACATAGTGATTTGACAGTTATATACACTACTAAATGCTCACCCCAACTAGTGTAGTTACATCTGTTGACGTAGAAAGATGTTAGGGAACCATTGACTATATTCTCTATGCTGAACTTTGATCTCTGTGACTAATTTGTATTGTGATTAAAATTTTGTGCCTGTTCACCTATTTCACCCACCCACCAGCCACTCTCACATGGTAACTACCAGTCACTTCTCAGTATCTATGAGTCTATTGCTGTTTTGTTTTTAGATTCCATATATAAGTGAAATCATCTGGTATTTGTTTTTCTCTGCCTGGCTCATTTCACTTAACATAATACTCTCTAAGTCCATCCATGTTGCAAATGGTAGGATTTCTTTCCTTTTTATGACTGAATAATATTCCTTTGTGTATATGTACCACATCTATCCATTTACCTATTGATGGACACTTTGGTTGCTTCCATTTCTTGGCTATTATAAATATGCAGGGTGCATAAGGTTGCATAAATACATAAGGGTGCATAAATCTTTTTGAATCAGAGATTATGTTTCCTTTGGGTAAATTCCTAGAAATGGAATTACTGGGTTGTATGGTATTTCTATTTTTAGTTTTCTGAGGCACCCCCATACTGCTTTATAGTGGCTGCACCAATTTACATTCCCACCAACAGGGTAGGAGGGTTCCCTTTTCTCCACATCCTTGTCAATACTTGTTATTTCTTGTCTTTTGGATAGTGGCCATCCTAACTGGTGTGAGGTGATATCTCATTGTGGTTTGATTTGCATTTCTCTAATGATTAGTGATATGGAGCATCTTTTTACATGCCTGTTGGCCATCTGAATGTCTTCTTTGGAAAAATGTCTATTTGGGTCCATTTTTTAATTGGGTTATTTATTTTTTGGCGTTGAGTCGTGAGTCTTTATATATTTTAGTTGTTAGTGCCTTATTGGATAAATCATTTACAAACATATTATCTCATACAGTAGGTTGCCTTTTTGTTTTGTTGATAATTTCCTTTGCTGTACAGAAACTTTTTAGTTGATTAGTCCCACTTGTTTATTTTTGCTTTTGTTTCCCTAATGCAAGCTGTTTTAAAGGTTATTATTAGATTAAAATTGGACTTGAGTGGTTCAAAATTTAGAGTCTGCACTTAAACCACTTGGCATTAAAAATAAATTATCCAGACCCAAACTACTACATCTTAGGTCCATCCCTGGCATCTGTATTTTAAAAGAAAGAATTTTCCAGATGAGTCTACTACAAATCAATGGGTAAGAACAGTTTCAATTAGCAGAACAATAAGTCCCCTTATATTTCTGAGATTCTGTTATTCTAAAGATGAGTATGGGATGTTTAGAGAAAACATTGAAGATTATTCATTCTCAACAGAGATGATATTGCCCTGAAGGGGGAAAACATTGGATCTTGCAGGAGGGAGATGGTGAAAAACATCTTACTTCTTAAATGTATAGATATAAATCTGATACTTAAACAGATACACAGTATATCTGTTAATATTAAAATTTCACTGGAGGAGGGCAATTAGGAAAAATTGTCTAAGAAGGATCCTTTGGGGGACAATAATGAAAAAAAAGGTTGCAAAACACTGTTGTAAAAGAGTGAGTTTGATTTTAAGATTAAACCAAAGATACAAATTTTTTACCTGCCTTTCTTATAAGTGTTAAGAAATATGTACTCATAAGTCACAAATAAAAAAATGTTGAGACCCATAAAAAATTTCTAAATGTCACTCCTCACTAATAATTTAAGATATATGAATTCAAAAATTAAAATGTACTCATCTATTCATTTCCTCAAAAAATTAAATCTAGTATTTCTACTCTTGGGAATTCACCCAGAAGAACTGGAAGCAGGGGCTTGAACAGATCTATGTATACTCATGTTTGCAGCAGCATTATCCACAATAACCTGATGGTAGGAGCAAACAGTGTCTACTGATAAATGGATGAGTGGAAAAACAAAATGTACATACACACAGTGGATTATATATATTAAATATGTGCAGTTCTTTGAAGGTCATACTGAATAAAGCTATAAAAAAAATCCTTGAAGTGTTCATTCATTTTTCCAAAAAAATTCTTGAGTACAGACCCAGGTACCACAGCTGCCAGCCTATAAATCCTAGTACCAAGCCTGCCCACCTGTGGACCCCAGCTCTGGGCCCACCGACCATGGACCCCAGCTCTGGGCCCACCAACTATGGACCCCGCTCTGGGCCCACCGACTATGGACCCCAGCTCTGGGCCCACTGACCATGGACCCCAGCTCTGGGCCCACTCATCTGCAGCTTCTGTGAATGATGTAGTGAACATACATGTCCAAATACCTCTTCAGGATCCTGATTTCAATTCCTCTGGGTAAAAATCCAGCAGTGGGATTGCTGGATCCTATGGTAATTCTGTTTTTAATTTTTTGGGGAAACTGTATACTATTTTTCATAGTGGCTGCCCTAATTTCCATTCTTACTAATAACAATGTTAATTAATTTTTTCCTTCCTTCTGCTGATTTTCAGCTTATTTTGTTCTTCTTTTCCTAGTACCTTGAGGTGTAAAGTTAGGTTGTTGGAGATCTTTCTCTTCTTTCAATGTAGGTATTTATCACTATAAGCGTCCCTCTTAGCAAACTGCTTTTGCTGTATTGCATAAGGAAGGACATTCTGAGACATGCCACATCTGGATGGATGACCTTGAAGACAATATGCTAAGTGAAATTCGCCAGTCACAGAAAGACAAATAGTGTTTGATTTAACTTATATGAGCTACCTAGTACAGTCAAATTTATAGAGACAGAAATTGGTATGGCGGCTGCCAGGGCAGAGGTGGGAGGGGGCAGTGAGGGAGGGTGAGGGGAATGGGTAGTTATTGTTCAGTGGGTGTGAAGTTGCAGTTGGGAAGATGAGAAAAGGAGATCTGGAGATGGATGGTGATGATGATTACAACACAATGTGAGTATACTTAATATACTTAATACTTAAAATACTTAAAAAGGTAAATTTTATGTTAAGTATATTTTATCACAAAAAATATTTTCACTTATTAGCAAAGTAGCTTCTTTTCCCTAATGCTAATACACTATGAATTCCCTAACATAACTTTTGATAGGGCTGTAAATTGGTATAATCTTTAAAGAAAGCAATTTGTTGCTATGTTTCCATGGTCCTAAAAATGTACATGTCATGTGACTCAATGTCCTCTTCTAGGAAATTATCATAAATATATGGAAAGATTATTTTATTAAGAAATGTGCTGAAGCATTGTATTTTTTTAATGCAAACAATCTAAAGTTTTCAAAATTGGTTAGGGAAATAATGATGCATTCCTACTATGAGACTCTAAATAATCATTAATATTATTTATGTGAATATTGAAGGGTATAGGAAAATGTTGCCAAGATATGTTAGTAAAAAAGTCTTTGCAAAAAATTATAAACTGTAATAACATCCATTTATTTTGTTAAAAAGCAACTGGTTAGCTAGCTAGAAAAAATATTGCTATGTATCACTACATATTATCTATTGTTACATATACATCTATGAAGAGAACGTACTAATCCTTTGGTGGCAGGATTATGATTCATTTGTATTTTCATCTGAGTGCTTTTCCCACCTGTAGTTTCTAAGCATTCTGCCTTAAATATCTATTACCTTGCTAATCATAATCACTTAGAAGAGTTATTAAACAGAAGAACAGTTTTTCCAGATAATTTTTCCTACTCCACACTTCCTAATCTCTGTCTTTTGTCAAGGTGAAAGGCAAAACACAGTTAAGTCTAGTTTGGGGTAAACAAGGCATTTGCAAAAGCTCTTGAGGATACTCTGGTCCCAGCAATGACTGTTCTTGGCTGAAGGGAAAGGTGGCTTTTGTAAGGTCCCCATCTGGGAAGCAAGAAGGTGCAGGGGAAACACGGTGTCACACTTCAATCACCCTAGTTCTACCAATGACTTAGAGAGACCCTGGGAAAGTCACTTCACAATTTGGGACCTCATGGTTCTCATTATAAAACAAATTTGGGCCTGCTCATCTTCAAAGTCTTCCAGCTTGAGTGCAATTTAATGTTACTGTGTATTGTTTGAGGCTGATGTGTGTCCCTGCTGGGAAAGGATTAGCCCTACTTTGGGTAACCAGGCTGGAACATCCCTGCATGGAGCCCTTTTGTTAAATTCTTTTTGTATAGATTCTGCATCTTCGGGTGCTGGGATCCCCTTTGAGTTTAACCACCAGCCCAACTTCCTGGAGGATTTGCCCGTATTGGTGTTAGGACAACCAGAAATGGAAACTCGTGAATGAAATTCAAACTGTGTTCAAAGTCTTTCATGAGACATTATTGAGAAGTGATTACATAACATAAATTAGGACAAATCAATTAATGAAGTTGCTGTATTTATAGTTTTTAAGAACATGGGCTTTGGAGTCAGACTAGAAGGAATCAAATCTAGGTTCTGCTACTTAATGGATGTGTGACTTTTGGGAAGCTACTGAACCTCTCTTTCCGACTCATAATATGTGGATAATACCAGTATTTGCCCTATAGAGAGATTAATTAGGTTAGTGGAGATAATACCAATAGAAGTTTTTCACGCAAAGCCTGGCACATTTTAAGACTAAACATACATTGTCAAGTAATGATAGTGATAGCAGAAGTCATTTTATATTTATATTTTATATTTATAATACATAATATACTCTGTCATTATCCCTCT